TTGGTTTTAGCAATTTAATTCCTAGAAGTTGTGAGCTTAAGCGGAGAATGACTGCTATATTTCTTAAGGGCAAATCATCAAAAGAAAACAGAGCTTGTGAAGATCACTGCTTTCTTCATTCTTCACAGCAAGACTATAGTCATCGTCTGGTAACAATACTTAATCGTCGATTCTTCTTATTTTGGTAGTTAAGTGTCTATAACAATAAATTCAGATACAAAACTGCTAAACACTGAGGAAGTGCCTTTAGTCGAGTGGTTAAAAGTCCACCTCTGCGGTCTTTCCTCACCGAAGTTCGACTCTACTTCCCTACATACTCAAAAGTTGAGAAATGGTCTATAGGCACATGCAGGGGCGAATGCAGACTAAAAATTCATGGGGGACAAAGCTATATATGATAGGGGCATAACATTATTTTTAGCAAGAGAAATAAATTAAGCTTTAAAGAATTACAAATGATTTCTAAATTCACCACTGGGCACATGTTGTTGACGGAAAAAACAAAACCAATTAGCACTAAAAAGAATCATTTTGTGACGAAAATAACTAAGCCAAAAATACCAACTTTACCGTATAAAATGGTAACTTCAACTGGTAGGTAACACTATTCTTTGTTCAACCTGACGAGAGCTCAAATGACAATGTCCAAAATTCATTGTTTTATTGTCAAATGGTTAATTATTTTATAATATTTAAATCATATCGTCAGATTCTTACCTTTTCTTTTCATTTGAAGATTCCTTGTAACCAACCACTAACCGTTATGTGATACTTGAATCCTTCTACAAGAAAATAAAATTAACAGTTAGACGCAATCAAAGGGAAAAGTACTAACATTAAAAGGATATTATATGGGCATATAAAGCGCACACTTGAGCGCCCATCTTGCATTACACTGACATTGTCTTCACTTCAACTATACTCAAGTAGAAAATGTCATGAGTGTGTGGTTGGACTTGGATTATAGTACATATTTTATGATTTCTGGGAATGATTCTTTCAAAGAGAACATGTCAAGAGTTTGGGTTGTTTAGTTCCTATAAATAGCTTGTAAGAGTTGTGAGAAAAGAAGAAACAAAATTTTGGAGAGAAGAAAGAGGGAAAGATGAAGGTGCATGATCTGTTGTTCGTCGCTATTTTGTCCCTTGGTGTAGCTGTTCATACCCAGCTGGTCAAGGGGCAACCCCGGCCAGGTTGCCCAACTAGATGTGGCAACGTCATAATCGAGTATCCTTTTGGTATTTCGGAAGGTTGTTACTATCCTGGAGATCGTGATGCCTTCGAGCTCACCTGTAAAGACGAGAAGTTAAGATTTTTTGCTGGCCATGAAGTGATCAGCATTTTTCACAGCGGCCAGCTACGCATCATGTTTCCTGTAGCCTATTCTTGCTACGACGTGAACGGAAACTTCGAAGGGAACTCTCTCCCCATTTTGGCGACACGTCGTTTTACTCTCTCCAGCAACAACAGCTATATTGGAGTAGGATGTAGCACTTATGCGCTGCTGAGACATCACGGTAAACAACGAAATTACACATTTGGATGCATATCATTGTGTGATGTAGTCCCGCCAGACGGAGAATGTTCTGGTGAAGGTTGCTGCCAGATGCCTGTTCCTAGGAAGGCCCTTGAGTTCAAATTGTATCCACGTAGCATTGACAATCAAACTTCTGTGCATAGTTTTAATCCTTGCGCCTTCGCCTTTCTAGTTGAAAATGGTAAGTTTAACTTCAGTGCTTCGAAAGATCTTAAGGATCTCCGGAATGTCAAGGAGTTCCCTGTGTTACTAGATTGGTCTATTGGAGAACAAACATGCGATCAAGTTGGGAAAAAAGAGCTTGTGCGGTGGGATCAGCACATGTATTAACTCTACTAGCAGCACAACCGGCTATAACTGCAAATGTAGTGAAGGTTTTGATGGGAATCCATACCTTTCAAACGGTTGCCAAGGTACTTAGACTTGTTTTTATTTTCTTTTTAACCGAATGTTCAAGTGTTTTTCTCTTAGAGTTCGCTTATTCTTTTAACAGACATCGATGAGTGTACCGATCATAGGCATGAGTATAAGCATAACTGTGCTGATGCCAAATCATGTCGAAACACGGTAGGTCACTTTGAATGTAAGTGCCCGCTTGGTTACCGCAACGATTCTAAACTTGCTGCACTATTGGATGGATTCCAATTTTTCTCGGTAAGCTCCCCTCACTTGTTTTGGATTCTTTGTTTTCCCAAACGACTTACTCTAATTATCTTTATTTGTGTGCGATGAAACAGGAACTACCATCGGCTTCTTGGTCCTCCTACTTGGCGCGTTCTGTATAAAACAAAGGCTCAAACACCAAAAGGACGCCGAGATTCGAAAACTATTCTTTGAGCAAAACGGTGGCGGCATGTTGAGACAGCGTCTCTCAGGAGTAGGGCCATCAAATGTTGACATCAAAATCTTTACTGAGGAAGGCATGAAGACAGCAACTAATGGTTATGACAAGAGCAGAATCTTGGGTGAGGGAGGCCAAGGAACGGTCTACAAAGGGATATTGCTGGACAAGTCCATAGTTGCAATAAAGAAGGCTCGGCTTGGAGACTGTAGCCAAGTAGAACAGTTTATCAACGAAGTGCTCGTGCTTTCACAAATCAACCACAGGAACGTGGTCAAAATCTTGGGGTGCTGTTTAGAGACTGAAGTTCCTTTGTTGGTATATGAGTTCATTACCAATGGCACCCTTTTTGATCACTTGCACGCTTCCATGCTTGATTCTTTTCTTACATGGGAACACCGCTTGAGGATCGCGATAGAAGTCGCTGGAACTCTTGCATATCTTCACTCCTCTGCTTCTATTCCAATCATCCATCGGGATGTCAAGACTGCTAATATTCTCTTGGATGAAAACTTAACTGCAAAAGTAGCCGACTTTGGTGCTTCAAGGCTGATACCGATGGATAAAGAGCAGCTCACAACTATGGTGCAAGGCACTCTCGGTTACTTAGACCCAGAATACTACGACACGGGGTTGCTAAACGAAAAGAGTGATGTTTATAGCTTTGGGGTAGTCCTGATGGAACTGCTGACAGGTCAAAAGGCAATGTGTTTTGAAAGACAACAATACTCAAAACATCTAGTGAGCTACTTTGCTTCTACCACGAAAGAGAACAGGTTGGATGAGATTATTGACGGGCAAATGATGAGCGCCGATACTCACAAAGAGATTCATGAAGTGGCCAAAATTGCTGTTTGGTGTACAAGATTGACTGGAGAGGAAAGACCAAGGATGAAAGAAATAGCTACGGAGCTAGAGGGCTTGAGAGTCGCAACGACCAAGCATGGGAAGTTGGATCAATATCCTGAGACTGAGGAGATTGAGCACTTGCCCGGTAATCACAACTTATCGGCACGAGGCGATACCAGCAGCAGTGGATATGACAGCATCAAGATTGTACCAAGGTTGGACATTGAAACCGGCCGCTGATATTTATCAGTCCACCTCTGTTCAAATATCAAACCCATCAGAAACAGGAAAATCTGCTCATCCTTGATGCATTCACATTTTACCTTGTAGGCCATCTTCAGACAGAGGAACAAAGGTAGAAAAACTTTGTATGTATGTATAGTGATTGCTGAATAACATGGCTCATAAAATATAAATTATGATAAGATCAATTTCTTAATAAAATGGAACAAAGTTACAAAAACTATACAACGTAGTATTTCTCTATAGCCTAAAACCCTGTAAGATAAGTAGCAAAACAAGCAAAAAAAACCTTCCACAAGAACCAGAAGTGTTGACCCTTCAATGTCATGTTTCTTTCCTGCATCTTCCACATCTACAGACTGGAGTTGTTGTACTTTTTTTATATACACCGAGTCACTTACAACAAAAATGGGAAGAAGAGTACAAATTTTAAACCTTCTTGGTCTCCCTCCATGGAATCCACAATCTCTCATCGTTTCAAGGCTCTTTATCTCGTGATTCTTCGACCAAAGGTGTTTCTTTGAGAGAAAACTCATCGAGGCTATCGTTCTCTGTATCGACCTGCACAAGCTCTTTGAACATTGCCATTACTTGAATCATAGTTGGCCTTTTGAACGGCCGGTCGTCTAGACACTGAGACGCAATCTTCAAGTAATGAAAAAGCTCAACATCGCTAGATTTCTCTATTACCAGGTCTGGATCAAGAATTTCAGCTCCTCTCTTCTCTCTGTAGAGCTGTTTAGCCCAGCCCACGAGGTTGTTGTCTTCACCAAACTCTTCTGGATCGATCGGTTTCTTTCCTGAGAGAAGCTCCAAAAGTATAACACCGTAGCTGTAGACATCTCCTTTGGTGGTGCACCGGAAACTCTGGTAGTACTCTGGTGGAACATAACCGGGAGTACCAGCGAGCGTGCTCACGCTCAAGTGCGTGTCCAGAGCGCTCACCAGCCTTGCCATCCCGAAATCTGAGACACGGGCTACAAAATCTTGGTCTAGAAGAACGTTGCTGGACTTCATGTCTCTGTGGATAATGTGAGGAATGCAGCTATGGTGCAGGAAAGCTAGCCCACGTGCAGCTCCTATTGCAATCTTCTTCCTCGCGGTCCAATCAAGAAAGATTCCGCCTTTCTTCATCTTCTCGTGTAGAACGGTCTCCAAGCTACCGTATTTCATGTACTCGTAGACAAGAAGTCTCTCTTCGCCGATTTTGCAATACCCCAAAAGAGGAACGAGATTTCTATGTTTGATTTTTCCAATTGTCTCCATCTCTGCCATGAACTCTCTATCACCTTGTCCCGTGACTTGAATCAGTTTCTTGATCGCTACAATAGATCCATCAGCGAGTTGAGCCTTGTAAACCTCTCCAAACCCGCCTGATCCGATCATACTATCAGCACTAAACCCATTTGTGGCTTCTAAAAGGTGTGCAAAAGTGAGTTTTCGCAGCGGCTTCTCAAACGTTGCAACGTTGATGCTCAATGGTTCAGGAACGCTAGAGAGCTTCCAGCTGCTGCTACCAGAGGTTGAAAGGCTCTCGATGTACTTCTCTCTCTGTTTTTCCTTCTTCTGAACCTTCTTTACTCTGTAAAGCGCCATAATAAGAATCACAAAACACATGAAAGAAAACACAATCCCAGTGATCATCACAGCCGCAATGTTTTGCTTCTTAGGCTGAGCGTGGGAGCCCGAAGGATGGGAACCAGATCTGCAAGGTGGCAGAGGAACCCCACAGAGGCCAGAGTTGTTGGCGTATCTTGTGAATGGGAACGTCGTAAGTTGGCCTCCGAATGGTATTGGTCCGGTTAGATTGTTGTTAGAAACGTCTAAGTCGCTGAGGAAAGAGAGTCCTCCAAGTGATCCGGGTAAGTATCCTTGGAGATCATTGTGTGACAGATCAAGAACACCAATTGCTTTCAATCCCCCGAAGCTGTCTGGTATGGTTCCAGTTAACCGGTTATGTCCCAAATTCAAGACCTGCAGATATCCCATTTCACCATAACTCGGAGGAATAGAACCTGAAACCGCATTGTAAGAAATGTCGAAGTAGATCATGCTCCCGTTTCTGGAGAAGGTATACATTGTCGAGCCTGAGTATATCCGAGTCAAGGGACAAGAATGAACCATCGGAAAATGCTCTAACCGCTCTGCACGAATGCCTTCAAACTCAACTAAACCGCCTGCACCTCTACAATCCGTCCCACCTTCGTTCCTCACAAACGCAAACTGTTTACCAGAGACGCTTCCAGGCAGTACCAGTCCGGCCTGGCTTGCAAGTTCAGCTGGGAGGTTCCCGGTTAGATTGTTGCTGTTCAGATCAAGCCAGATAAGGCTCTTGCAGTTCCCAAGCTCACGTGGGACATCCCCGGTCAAAGAATTGTTCCCGAGCTGCAGAATCGCCAATTTCTCTAGATTTCCGATCCCTATCGGGATTTTGCCAGTAAGCATGTTACTGTTAAGGGAGATCCAGAGCATGTTGGTGCATTTAGAGATTGATTCTGGAATAGAACCCGTTAAGAGATTGTTGTTTAGGATTAACGTTTCCAAGTTTCCTCCGTCAACACAAATGCCCTCCGGTATTTCACCGGTGAGATTGTTCGCCCACATAACTAAGTCAGAGAGCTTCGGTAACGTCCATATCTCCTTTGGAATCAGACCAGTGAGAGCATTGAAGCTGAGATCTATTGTCTTCAAGCTCTTGCACTCGCCTAGCTCCACAGGCACAATTCCGGAGAGGTAATTGTTGGCAATAAGCAACTTTTCTAGAACCGGCGAGCTTTGAAGAGAGCAGAAGGCAGATGGTACTTTCCCCGTAAACCCGTTTGAGCTCAGATCAAGAACTCGCAGATTAGTACAGTTGGTGATCGAAATCGGAACAGAGCCTGAAAGGTTGTTGTAGGGCAAGTAAAGATAAGTGATTCTCGGGAGTTTACTCACGACGGAGCTTAGAAACTCGCCGGAGAGCTTGTTGTTTCCAAGATTCAGGCTCTGTAATGAGCTACATGAGGTGAATGGTTGCGGTAGCTCACCGGTGAGACTGTTGCCGGAGAGATCGAGGATCTCTAGTGTTCGGCAGAGCAAAGAAAGCTCCGTTGGAATCTCGCCGGAGAAACGGTTGTGAGATAGAGAGAGCTGCTTCAGGTTCTGGAGATTTTCCCAATATTCATCGCCGGGGATTTTCCCGGCGAGACTGTTCCGAGAGAGGTTTAGGGTCTCGAGAAGCTTACAATTTGACAGACTAATTGGGAATTTGTCGCCGGAGATGTTGTTCTGTGACAGACTGAATACGGTGAGGTTTCCGCAGAGCCCAAAACTGAGACCGGAGAAGTCGCCGGAGAAATTGTTGTGTGATAAATCGAGTTGTTTCAGAGTCGCCGGAAAACTCGAAATGAAAGTCTCCGGTATCTCTTCCGATAAGGAATTATTCGAGAGATCGACGATGGTGATTCTCTGATTACCCGTCGACGGAGAAGACTTGAGCTTTCCGGCGAGCTTGTTGCTCGAGAAATTGACAGAAACAAGATTCAAACAGCTAGAGAAGACGTAATCCACCATTGAATAATCCGAAATCGAGTTCGAAGATAAGTCCAGAACTTGGAGAGAACATCCG